CGCCTCGTTGCTTTTTGTTATGTGCTGTGTTGATATATTTTCTTCATAATTACTATGTAATATTAAGAATGTCAATATAAAAATTTGACAGCGAAAACAGCCAAATTAGTTGAGCTAGTTTGGCTGATAAATAGCTAAAAATAGGTGAATCCTATTCCCTCGCGGGGATGGGGACATGTATGGCTCATAGCTCACGATTTCTCTGGACAAAAACTAAATTAAAAAGTAGTATTTCAACTTATCTTTTAAAACATTCTGGACCATATGAAAAAAGTTAATATATCGGAAATATCGGCCTTAATCCAACCGATACCGATACATGGCCGATACCAGAAAAATGGCCGATATTGCCGATACCGATACATCTCTAGTTGAAACCCGTTGTGTACAGAATTTACTACTCTGAAAAGCTTGATATATATATATACTTTTCGTAGGGTTCAAACTTGTCAAGTTTTCAAAAGAATTACAAACTTCGAAACCGAATTTCGAGGCTCTAGGTTTCAGCCTGCCTAACCTATTGGTAAATCCAGCCCTGGTGATGATCCCTACAGCAAATTTCTGGCCCTAATCACTCAGCAGATTCAAATAAATGATTTTCAGCATTTATTAGCAAAGATGGATATTTTAATTAAACATATAGTTCAACTTAAAGCCTGTATAATGATATTATAAATATATGTCCCATTATTACTGCATTGTGAGAAGGCTTTCCACACTATCAAGTCTATAAGGTTTTAGCGTCTTCCAATGTCTCAGATGGAAACTTCAGTCTTCATTTCGCATATTCTTTTCATTAATGCCATTAGCATTTGAAGCTTGACTGGTTCCAATGTACATTTTCCATTGTTGTTTAATGTAATATCCTAAACGTGACTTCAAATTTTTTTCTCACTTCAATCATCACATGTTTGAATACCCGAGCTGACTTCTACTGATTCGTTATTAATTTACAATTTTTTTTTTATAAATTAACTGTCGTACTTGCCAAGTGTCCCCTAAGTGAAAATATACAAAAAAAAAACAGTGGTTTAATAATGGACTACATTTTTAACCGAATCCAAAAATGTTAGTCTTAGTCAACCCTTCCTCCAAGGAGTTTTTGTTAAATTGTTCAAACATCTTAATTAACTGTTAATCTTGATAGCGAACATGGGGAGCAGACTGTGATGGTCGTATCGCTCCCCAGTCTATACCGAATAACTGTGTGTTTTGTATATAATTTTTATTGATACAATGCTTGTATTCTGGTTGACAAAATAAATCTCTCTCTCGTATTCAGTCATGTTCTTAACCTAGTTAGGAGACCGGTATTGAACCATTATAGATTGGAGATATTCATCTTTTTTGTATACCGGTACCGTACAACTTATCCTGCCTGTTGGCAGGATGGCCAACATTTTTGTATTGTTCGTAGGCCTATTTCAGTATTTACTAAATAATTTAGTTTTCACTTCTTGCAGCCTTGATACGGTACCGGTAGTTTAAATAACACGTCAGCATGCCTTCAGTAAATGATTGCTAGCTGTACAGGTATAAATGCGTAAAACCAGTAAAAAAACGTGATAGAAATGGCATGGGTTATAGATTGTCAATGTTAAACGCTTCCAGCAGGGTTGCCAGACCCCAGCGATCAAAAAAAGCCAAATCAAGACAAAAAAAAAGTCAGAAAAAGCCAACAATTTTACTAAGTACAAAAGTCCCATGCTTTGTCAGATTTTAAGCCCTCGGCAACGTACTGATGATGATGTAGAGCCATCAGTTCATTTAGTGAAGCACTCAAATAGAAATTAAAGTTCCTATAGAACTGTAAAAAGTAAAATAAATATCAAGCGGACAGCATTATTTTACCATTCAATATATACAATACAGGGTGCCGCTTCAGTCTGTCAGTATGTAATATACCTACATGTTTCTACTTAAACTTGTGATATAGGCTACCTTAAAAAATTCTCCCTATATCCTACTTTACTATTGAATATCTTTTTACTCTTAAAATTTATAAACCATCAAATTTATTAAAAAATTATCTTATCGCTCACAGGTGGACCACTGATATCTAATTCAGTAATTTTAGCGTAGTTAATCACATCGTTACTGCAATTGCAGAATTAAACTAAAGCTCACATAAACCATATCAGGCATTATGAAAATTAAGTTATACCACTATTTTTTGTGAACAGAACGTAAAATTGACAAATAACACGCATAACTGTAAAAACGAGGCAATGTTCACAACCCTGCTTGAACATATGTCTGAGCAGCTGCGGAAACTGCAATTATTTCTTATTGGGTATGGTTAAGAGTTAATGTAACAAACAAGGAAATCGATGTACCACGAAATCCTAATAATAAGTAGCTAATAAGTACAGGTAATAGGCTATTGTTCAGTTGTTACACACTGAATATTGTATTTCATATGATTTTAATAATAGACACTAGAATAGACTTGAAAAAAGCCAAAAAAAACGCCAAAAAGCCAAACGGAAATTCTGACGCCAAATGCGTTTGAAAAAAGCCAAAAATGGCAAATTTGGCGTTAAAAAAGCCAATATGGCAACCCTGGCTTCCAGTACCGGTACCGTACTCAAACAGAGCACGGCGCGTTGGCAGAATCTCATGGTCTAGTGAGAATGACGTCATCGGAAACACCGCGCTCATTAAAATTTTAATGAACGATTATCAAAAATCTTGACCACGTTTATCATGATAAAAATATCAAAAGAGATGTAAAAAATATTCTATTTTCAAAACTGCTCACGTCTACATTGACAGATATCTAGAAAATTACAAAAAATGCAAATTTCTGCTCTGGTGATCACATTCCCCATAAGAGCTAATGTTAAAAAAAAAATTTTTACATCACTTTTCTATTTGCGCGTAGGATGGGTTTTTAATGAATAAGGTCTATTGTGAACGTTGTGTATAATTTTGATGATTACGTTTACGTGAATGCAATTGACTTTATTGATTGTTCAATATGTTGGTAAATATATGTATGACTGGACCAAAATATAGGCAGTTTGGAAGACAATTTACCCTTATCACTACACTTAAAATAAAATGAAAAGTTGCTCACGCTTTTGGTAGAATATATTTTATGTGAATAAATTTATTTCAACTGATAGCAAAACCTTCAAAAAAATTTCGTTCATCGTTGTTTCTATTCTAATCTTACTGGTGAACTGATCGTTACAGGTTTCATGCCCAAACACAGCTGACCATCTAGCCTACACAGGAGAGGATAATTAAGTGAACGTGATTAATCAGGTATTGGTAATTGCTAGTAATTAGTCGGAACGAGTGTAGCTCAAATGCGTCCACAAAATGCCCATTTGTCGACTTTAGATCGCAAGGTAGTGATCATAGACGTCGTTTTGCGCAGGCGAATGTATATGCTAAATTTCACTGCGTCGTCATCTAATAAGCATACTGTGGTATATGATGAAACCACCGAATCTGATAGAGGTTTCATGGTGCCCGCATGGAGCTTGGGAGTGACGTTTGTTTCAACTGTATTATGCTGCCTAATCATTTTAGCCGTTAGTGTTTGGTATCGCAAAAATAGACGCAATCGGAAGTTTTTACATAGATATACACAAAATGGGGGACGAGTGACGATCGGCAAAAGGCGATTAAATGAAGCAGCTAAGACAGATAAATACCACAATGGGATTGAAATACAAAGAAATATACCGGACATACGAATTGGTGGTTCAACTTGTAGCGCGTCGACGATGCAAAGCTGCCCTGATTATTGCGACAATGCTAAGCTTGGCGTCAAGCTTGATATTCCGCTTTCGAGCAATATATCTATGGCTTCTGGTGTGTATGCTCAAATGAATACGACGCAAGATGCATTGAATGTCGGAGACGGTTCTTTATTTACACCCTCAAACAGCTTGAATCCAAATAATAACGCTGCAGGATCACATTCCAATTCAAGCATGTTTGGTGAAGGAAGCTATTTCACTCCGGTATTTCGACAACGGCCATATTCAACCGAGCAACGTGAATTTCCTACCCCAGGTATCATCAATTTTTCCAAAAGTGTTAGAAAGCATTTGACTTCGACGATATCAGCTATTGGAGGGGGCAGCGTTGGTACAGATAACGAAACAACAACAGTTGCCTGTTCCGTGTATAAAAACAGATTGGAAATATCAGATAATCAAATTCGACCACATCCATCAGTGACTTCGCTTCACGAAGTAATCGATAACACCGAAGCAACAAACAACAACTGTACCTACCTAACATTTAACGATATATCTGCTCTAAACACTCCACCTGTCAGTTCCATACATCATAACCAACTCCACCGTCTGTCGTCTGAATTCAAACAGCAGACGCCAGCTTAAATCTGGCCATAAGGACACTGAATGGCTGCTGATGGATATACTATCAGTTGTTCTTAACTTGGCATTTTGAAACAACATTTCATTACGTTATGTACCATGGTATTAATATATTTTCTTATTCTTTGATTTAACACTGAATGCCCTGGAGGAAGAAGTTTGTTAAGTCTTCTGATTAATCTGATATTTATTGATTGAATTAAAATTTCTTTCAAAAACAAATAAATTATAAATTGACCAGATTTATATCATGTATATTTTGCAGAATATCTTCTTCATGTGGTTTTTGTCTGAAAATAAACAAAAGTCATTGTATAGCCCATGTGTTTAACTACGACTCTTGTAGAACAAAACCTTCATATTGCTGAAATCAAGGTTTGAGTCGAGATGTCTCAACAGGAATGTAATCTTGTATACTTTCGTAATCCTGTTGTTTACAGGTTGGTTCAAATTACAATGACGTCGATATTTGGATACGTTTGAATGTCTCGATTTCAAGCCACCATGCTCTCCTTCACTTGTTCAGAAAATGTTCAGAGTTTGAAGAGGTTCATTGATGAATCTCTACACATTTTCTGAACAAGTCTATTAGGAATAAGTGTGAGTCAGTTACTCGAAGTACGTCATAAATTTGGCATATCCACCTCGACGAAAAATTTGAAACGATACAAAATGGTTTGCCAAACTAGTGTGCTATTGAAGCGTGGTGAAATATCCGTATCTACATTTTAGAAAAAAAATATATTAAGAACTTACTCCACATGGAGGCGGTGAATTGAAAGAATAGTCGCATAAACTTGATTCTTCATTGAAAACAGTACCGGGAGGACAGTTGTATATCACTTGATTTGATCCGTCACAAATGTAGAATGACTCGCAAGTATACAAGTACTGTTTCCCAGGTTCTCCTCCCTTTGTAAGCAAAAATATATTTATAATCGATGATCTAGGGCAGGTTACAAAATCCTCCCGAGCTGAAAGTTAGGATTGAATAAACTTGCGCAATTTCAGAAACGATCATGACCCATAGAAAGCAAAGATTGATAAAAATAAATTTAATAAAAGCAATTGGGAATTAATCTATGGCAGTGATTTTCAACCTGAGGCCTGACAAACCTAAGTCTGACAAATCAGTATGGTCTGTAAGATGTCGCAAGTTCAATAATAGTACCAAACCTAACAGATAATTGATTATATATATTATTTAAATGGATTTGGATGGATACTTGCGGAAACCCCGGACTGTAATGGCGGAAACCTATTATAGTGAATCGGAACTCTGAATAAAAACCAGTGGTTCACAGTCTAGAAATAAATTTTATGAATTTTTGCATCATGGTGTTTAGCGACTTTTTTTAAAACTCTATCTTACAGGACAAGCTCCTGATGTAGAACCGTCATCAGTTGTGACTATTGGACTCGCAGTGGTCAGTGCGGCTGTTGTTGTTGTTGTTGTTAGTATTGACTGAGTAGTAGTGCTTGGATTCTTTGTTGTTGTAGTCTTAGCAGTTTGAGTAGAATTCTGCATTCACATTTAAAAAAAAAGTTTTTAAGTGTTTTATTAACTTTTTGGGAAGCGTAACAATCATATCTTACTAAAATCGCTAAGAATCGCTAACTAGTGTAATGTCCATATTTCTTATATGATGCGAACCATCTACTTTTTTCACGCATCCTAAACTAATTTTGGTTTTCACAACGTTTTTCAATGTTATTGTATTCTATTCTTATATCCACAAAAAGTCAGCAGATGTTTGGATTCTCGACAATCGTGTCTAAATTATTCCAGAAATAAATCCGAATCCTCAAATCGTGGACAAGCCTATAATCTAGTCTATTATACCGTGAATCCAGGAGGAGGAAAAGTGGCCCCTGTTCCAATAGCTATGTCAGCACAACCATAAAATTCTTCTTGTGGTCCACATCCTGAACAACATTCGCCGTCACTATCGCAATTCCAGGTGTTCCCTGTACATTGGAAGAGATATAATGTGTTAATGTTTAAAACGTCAGCGAATGAAAATGTTTACAAGAATGAATTTATATATATATTTTGTAAACATTCTGTCAACTTATTCGACGTATCATATATATATATATATATCTTTTTTTCTTCATAAATTTGTTGTAAAAAGTAGTTTTACAATGGTCGTGCTGTGTAGGTGATTATCGCGCTACCGTGTTTCACGACTGGAAAATTTTTTTTTTTATGATTTTGTTATTATGAACCCATCTTTTATAACCCATTCTTGTGGGTAATATTTAAAAATTATAATTGATTGAAATAACCTGCTTTGTACTTCCACTGTAGAACGCACTGGTCGCATTCGATTTCCTCCGGTAACTTCAGCGTAACATCAAAGTATTGCGAACTGCCACCTGTAGAAGTTGGAACCATCCATTGAGTACTACCTTTATTATTTGCCAAGACATACCTGTTAGAATATTGAAATATCGATTTTTGAATTAGGCAACGGTAATGCTGGTCTACTGAAATCATTCTCGAGAATATTATGTCAACGCCAGACTTTTCTTTTGCAAACTTTCCGTTGATAATCTGATAAACAAAAATATTTGGCCAATGCTCTAATCCCAATATCACCACAACCAAATATTCTAGCAAGATTATTATTTATATATAGAGAAGCTTCCCCGTTGAGGATGCAAATAATTATGCAAATAAACAAATCTTTGATTCGAATATGGAACTAATACATCAGACAGTTCATAACGTTGAAAATTAACATTTAGGCTCGTTTCGTAGGGTTAGTGCAGGAAATGATTAGGCGTCTTGTTGGAATACCATGGCTAAATGGAAAATGATGTAATGTATTGAATGTCAATATTTTCCAGGATTACTGCATGCTGCGACCCAGTGTGTACATTGTATAAATACCACAATCTATTTATAGACATCTTCTTACCCATGTCTGGGAACCAAACAGATGTAAGGTCTGAGGTTTTGCGTTAGGCGCTAGTTCATCCCAATATAGACCAAAGGTAAAGTGATCTGTTTGCCGTTAGATAAACCTTGCTCTCTAAGAATAAAATTCGTTAAACAGTCATTCCAAAATATTGCAAATTCACTTTAATATAGTCTAAGTTCATATGAATATTTTGATATTGAACTCACTGATCCAAGCATTCATGTGTAATAGGTACAGCAACATTGTTCCATGGACAAAGCCTAAATTCAAAATATCCCTTGTGATGTGCAGTCAGTTCCACGGTCACTGTGAACCAGCTACCTAAAAAGAACAAGTTTCAGTTGATTTAATTTATTATTGTCATTTTTCTTTTGCGTTATTTGATGCTTCAGTAATAAGATTGTCAGACGCATCAATTTAGTAATTAATTAACGCGTAATGTTATATGGGTATCAATATTTACTGTGCTTTGTTTGCTGGGGTAGAGGCATTCAAATTCCTTTATTATATATATGCGAATAACTTTCTCAGTCAAACTGCAGTGAATTATTTAAACATCTATTATGATTTACCCGGAGTGTATTGTTCAACTATAATCCCTTTAGCATATTTTCCCCCAGCTTCATTTTCCTTCACATCAGCATCCCACGGATCTCCACAAACACCACATTTCCCACCTAAGTTTTGTTGGTACTGGAAATGGACATTACAAGTTGATTTATTAAAGTTACGCATTTAATAAAAAACAAATTTTCAAATATAAAATGATGTTCCGGGTTTTTCCAGACCCTGGATTAGAAAAAAAAATAAGCACTTGAATGAGGGTGGCGCATACAATTCTAGAACGTACAAATCAATTCCATATGCGTCATTCCAGTGTAACGCGTATCATGTTGGTTCTAATATTTCTATAACAGTTATTAACAACGTCCATCTTTTATCTGAGGTATGATAAATTGCATAGGTCTTAAAAATCTGAGCAATTACAGTTTGTTCAATTCACTGCCTTTAAATGTTTAAATAAAACCTCAGATACTAAAAAACAGAAACAAGAGCTAGAGTAAAATCAATTCCTACCGTGAAGCCGCCACAAAACAGCTCATTATCGTTAAAGTTTTCCTCTACGATGTCCAAGTATGGTTTGATAGCCGAATCGTCAGGATATCTCCACATTGTAGACCTGCTGTGTGGAACTCGAAGTCGACCATGGCCATGTACATGCGCCACCAGTACAAGCATACACCAAGCTATAAAACAATTTTGCGTCCATGGTTAAATCATTGAATTCAGCCAAACTGGGGAAGTGTCGAATATGAATTGAATAAAAAATGAACTTTTCTTTGCTTGCTTCATTTGCGAAATAATTGATCATGTTACGTTTAATATGAAGGAACCATCGGTAATGGATTGTGTAACATATTGTTGATTAACATTTGCACAAACCATCAAAAGTACGTATTTAATCCTGTTGAAAACTCGAAAAAATATCTTGCTCGACATTAACAAATAAGTAATGCTTACATGTCAACAAAACGCTTAAACGTCCCATACTTTTGTGAGCTCTGGAAGATGTTCGACGTTGACGTGCTTCCCGAATATATAATGTTGATGTGCGATAAGAGTCTTAAATAGTTCCAACGCATTGTTTGTGTTCTATATTAAACTATTTACACTTATATCTGGGAATGACGCCAAGTTTGATAACTTAATTCCAGTTTGAGATAGTATTTAAAATTTTACATATATAGTAGATATTTTGAGCTTGGAATATTGGTATGAAGTATGCTCTAATAAAGGCCGCGAGCACTAATTCACAAACAACTCTATTATTATTCTATGATCACTCTATTATATATACTGTAATATATATACAGTTTATAATTATATATACTGTATATATTATATTAAAAAGGGAAATAAGATGTTTTTACTCATGCTCTTGTTGCGTCCGGTAAATAGACCTTACTAACTTAACTTAAATCGACCCAAGTTTCTCTGAAACTAAGATTTCTGATGGTATATCCGCAAAATAAATGCAGCAAACCGTAATTCTGTCGATGAAAAAGAGTACTCTAATTTTGGGACCACCCTATTATATATATATATATATATTTCAATTACCCCATCTAAGACTTGGTTTTAACAAGGCGAGTAACCTTGCACCGCAGATAATATACCGAGGAGTTTGGCAAAGCGAAGCGAACAATGGCAGTATTACGTACGTATCTTGGACGTTATTTATTTATACCATGTCATATGTTTGGGAATAGTGCGGCCAGCCAGACCAAATTTAGTTGAATAATTCAGAATATATATATATACATGTCGACATTGAATTTGAGGTAATATCAGAGATTTTCATCCTGAAGAAAACACTGAATAGAATCACGAAAAGCAAGTTTCATTAGAATATTCAAGTTACAGACATTTTTACTCGTCTAACTTGCATATCGAGACGATAATAAATGCTCGTGTGGTGACTGGTATGCACACCTGTGTAGATTGCAAATGCGACCATCTGGAAGCACTGGCGTATCTAGGGCGTGGCAGCCATGGTTCGTCTCGTGCCATGGGCGCCGTTTGAACAAAGCGCAATAACGGCAAGAAGTATTAATCATAAAAGGTTATAATAAGATAAATTCAAATTGGGAATAACTGAAACTCGTATTTTTACTTCAATAATAAAAAAGTATCGCAATTCAATAATAGTCATTATAAACTGTCAAACAACCATCAAGGGGAGGGGTGGCAAGGCAATTTTAAACTTTGCCATGGGCACCATTTTACGTAGAATACCCACTGTCCGGAAGGTCTTCGATGAATATAAAAAACAACGTAGGTCTAATAGTTGAGCATTGAACAACGCCGGAACAAAATGGGAATCTTTTCAAAAGAGCTGGCAACCAAGAACTATGGTGATTTTTGATCACATGTGAAATATTTTACGGAGGCCAAAACATCACTACATATTTCATAGAAACAAATTTATGCGAAGTTTGCCATGCCAAAATCGACTGCCGCTTTTAATTATTCTAAACTATAAACTCGGGTTTCTCACATCGTTGTGCACATTATATATTCTCTTAATACCTTAGTA